GAGAAATCCAGTCGTCGCTAGCTGGTGTCTGAATACTGTGATCTGCTCTGACATGGGTGTGGTAGGAGTGACAGCAGTGACCTACCGAACCGAGTTGTTGTTGTTGAGAAACTAAAGAGTTTAGCACTGTTGTTGGCCACTTGTTTAGCATTTGTAACGGGATAGCCGAGCGCCCGTCACCAGACAGCTAAAAATAATCTGTGTTCTTTCTTAAGTCATGACTATTACAAAAATTGCAGCTGTGCTTTTCAAGCTGATAAAAACAGCTCAGAGACTTTCTCCACTCTTCCATGACAGATTAGTGAAACGTTCCACTGTTTGCCGAGTGTTTGTCATGATCCGACTATAAGTGATAGTTTAAAACCACAATTAACCACCCAGGAGCAAAATCAGCCTTCAAACATGAAAGAAATCATGATTTGACATTTATCGCGATACGTATCGATATCGAACGATATGAATTTCGTTTATCGTGATAACGTTTTTGGCCATATCACCCAGCTCTACTTTGTAGTAAGGTCTTTATCAACTCTGCTTTCTTTAGGTGGACCGCTCTGTTTTGGAGGCTTTACCAGTGGAGCTGAGAGAACAGGTGGAGCAGTCATGGAGCCACAGAGAGGAGAAACCAAGTACCTCATCACATCCAACCACACCCCACCGAACCCCTTCCTCTCCTCTCTCAGGGCCAGCAGGTACCCTGCTGGTACACCTTCCAGATCAGCCTGGACAAACTGTCAGCACAGGCATTGTACTGGAGCTACCTGACTTCTCCCAGGTTTGTTGGAGCCTTGTTGTACAGTCATATGCAAAAGTCTAAACACCCCTGGTCAAAATACATTTTGTTGATATTCTAAATTAAAATAACACATCCTACATTGACACAAATGTAAATGTCAGTTTTCTGTAAATTGTAGAGCACAATTTGAATTTGTGTTTAAAAAAAAAAACATTAGATGGTTCATAACCTTTGCAAATACTTTTGTTTTATTATTTCTCTATTATATTAAATTCAACAAATAAACAGGAATAGTTTGCTAAAATGTTTGAGTGTGTTCACTGTAAAGGATGTATACTTATTTTTCATTTCAACAAAACATGGAATTTGACCAAGAGGGAACCCACATTAAAACAGGGAATCTTCTCGAGTGAAGCCACTTTTGTATGCAATAATAGAATTTTATTTTTTGACCTTTTTCTTGTCCAGGTTGACCCTGAAGTGTTCGCAGCACTCCCTAGGGAATTACAGGAGGAGCTACGCTCTGCGTACAGATGCAGGGAAAATACTCAGGCTCAGAGCACTACGGGTAAGTAAAAGAATGGATGAGGATAGCCATACTGACTACATTGCATTCTGTAGGTGCTGGAAAAATCCCACTTAATGTCCATCCTATTTTATGTTTGTAGTGGAGCAGAGAAACCCCCTGCTTCAGCTGAAGCAGCCTGCAGTGGGCAGGGTGAAGCGGCGCTACAAGAGGAGGAATGCTAGTCCAGTGAAAAAAGGCGCTAGTCCGTTGAAACGACTCCTCCCAGGAAACAGCCCTGCAAAATCCAGTCCCTCCAAAACCATCCCACTATCACTCAAATGTAAAGACCCCCCCCCAGGTTTAAAGGTAGATCTGTTGTTTGCATTTTGCACTTTCTTTGTACCACTTACAGCTCATGTAAGCTTCCATGTCTAAATTTCCATGTCTATTGAGTAATGGAGACTGCTGAATGCTGTTAGACTTGTTGTCTTACAGGTGTTCTTTTTTCCTTGATGTGGAAAACATGCCAACATGTTAGTTTGTCAGAGAAATACATTTTCACTGTTTCTAGACCTAACATCAGCTAGAGTAGTTAGTGTAGTTAGCAATGAAGCCAGGCTACTTTTGTCTTCTCAATCAAGTCCTTTTCAATGCATCCTTGGCAGCGCAAGCACATCAAGACACTCATTTTTCACAGTAGCAAACTGTAATATAATATACATATTTAGTTGCAAATACAATTGAACTCGCCACATAATGCATACTGAAACAGTCATTTCAGTATTCGAGTACTGGCACTTCGAATAGTTAAGCGAATGCTTAAGTACCTTTGCTCATCCCTACCTGATTATTGGTGCATTCATCTGAGCTGACAGAGTGAGACTGAATATTTCTCTTTTTCATAATATTAATCTCAATTCCTGGTGACAGATTGAAAATGGGCCACCCTCTTCCTCTTTGAGCCATCAAATGCCAGAAGTGTTGTCCAAATTCACCCCTCGCTCTGCCCCAGCCCTAGCTGGAGCTTGTGAACTCAGTGACATCAGAGCCCTGCTGCGGGAGTGGGTTACCACCATCTCAGGTAATTCTACATAGTGGTATAAACCTGGTCACCTCTTGTGACTAGTATCTGGATGTGTCTTGGGTGTGTTTACGCTTGCATTATTATGTGGATTGGCGATACTCAAGACTAGTGATCCTGGACAGTTTGGGCCAAGTGTAATGTGGCTCTTGTAGTATTAGGTAATGAACTATGAGAGACTGGCTTGGCTCATAATATGTTGGTGCTATGTCTCTGCAGAGCCTATGGAAGAGGACATTCTGCAGGTTGTGAAGTATTGCACAGAGCTAGTGGAGGACAAAGACCTGGAGAAACTCGACCTGGTTATCAAATACATGAAGAGGTAGAGTTCTTTATGTGCCTCCTGTTAAATAAATTATTATTTGTAGTCGTAGTGTTATATATATATATATATATATATATATATATATATATATATATATATGTGTGTGTGTGTGTGTGTGTGTGTGTGTGTGTGTGTGTGTGTGTGTGTGTGTGTGTGTGTGTGTGTGTATATATATATATATATGTATATGTATATGTGTGTGTGTGTATATATATATAAAATTGTTGTTCTCTTTTTGTCTTTTCCAGGTTGATGCAGCAATCAGTGGAGTCTGTATGGAGCATGGCCTTTGATTTTATTGTGGACAATGTGCAAGTGGTGGTGCAACAGACCTACGGCAGCACCCTGAAAATCACATAGAGGCATTTTGTGAGGTATATTATTACCTCTGTCACTGTGACATCAGCTCAATGCTGCCCTCTCATCATGAGACAACAGAAAAAAGACTGAAGATACTTCAACACTAGCGGTTGCTTCTGTCTGCCTATCTGTTACTGTAGCATGGCTACATTGTTTTCTCGGACCAAGCCTTTCTCAAAGGACACAAGGAAGATCTGCAACCATGCGTTGTTATTGTTAAAGCAGCGACTAACAGCAATTGATTCATTTGTAGCATGACACAATTGTATCAAAATTATAGTGTGAGTTTGAGATTACAACTGGACAAGTTTATTTTACCATTTTAACATTTTGAGCAACCACAATCTTAAATGCTACTAGCAGAATTTGAAACAGCTCAGCAGAATTTGATAAGTGTAAAAATCATGATGTCAACATGCTAGTTCTAGGAATATTTTGCTCTGCTGACTAAAGGAAGGTCTTTAACACCAGGATCTTATGTTCTATACTGGCTTCCTGCTATCATGGCTTCTAACATATCTTATCCAAGGTATTCAAGGCCATAGGCATGTTGAGAACCGGGGAAAATGGGAACCTCCGTCTAACGCTCTTTGTTCTTTTTGTTTTTGGATCTTTTCTTTGACCTTTTTCCTCTGTCCACTTACCTGGTCTAAGAGTGCCATTTTTACCCCAGGAATATATGGCAAACATGGTAGCAAAGTAAGGAGTGATCCAGAATTTGTCATCTATAGATCAGCCCTAAAGCTTGGCAGTAAACCTGAAAAACTAGCATTTTGTTTGTAACTCTCAAGTGCCAGATTTTGTAAGTATAGCATGTAGATAACTATAGTAATTGTCTATGTAGGTGGCAACATTTCTAAAGATTTTTTATGTGTGCATAATGTTTACACAATTTTTTGTGTTGTCTTCTCTTCTGGGTGTGTGTGGAAGAAAGAGAGAGCGTGAGAGATGAAGAATAATATAATTGTAATTAAACAGTAGCCAAAGTCCTCCTCTATTTGAAGACCATCTTATCGTGTGTCTACATAAGCAAACCATGTTTATTGACCAACATGGAATTATGAATGTCTGGATTTGTCACCAGTCTCCAGACCGGTTCATAATTAAAGCAGATTTGGTTGTATGTGTTCAAATGAACGTACAGTCACTAAATTATCCTGATGTGATGGAGTTTATTAAGCTGCTCAAGAAAGAGCTATTAGATTGATTTATTCTGCCATGACCATAAACTAGGGAAGGCCCGGACATATATTTGGTCAGCAAAATCTGTCTCAAATGACTGACCTGTGCCTGAAGACCTGAAGCTGTGACACCATTTGTATGTTTTCTAAACTTGCTAATAAACTGCTCTTGTTCAAATTTTGGAGCCAAATTTATAGTGTTTGTTTTTGTCTTTTTTCTTGTACTGTATTGTCTACTGACTTGTCATGTTTTAAAACATTTTCCACTGCAAATTTAAATAAAGTATTTGTTATGCCTAATTGTCAAGTAGATACTATAAGACGGGAAGAAAAACTGGACATTCTGTCTCAACATTCATTCATAAGCAGTAGGGAAAGGCAGATGCATACTGAAGAATCAATCGTGCAGTTTCTGACGTTTTATTTAAGCAGTACATTTCTGCAGACTAATTGAGGAAAAATTATTTTAGCAATGAAATGAGTAGAATACTCTTCTAACCTGAGTGAAAAATGGCAGTTTGGAGTTATTTCACTCTACTAAACCGTTTGTTTGTTTGACTGAATTCAATAACCTGCTAATGCAAATAATCTTAAGTTTCAGTTCTAAATTTTGAAGTCCGTATTTACTGATTTTCACAGCAGAAATCCGTTTTCCTATTTTGCGTGCATAAGAAGACTTCTTATTAGTTTCGGTATTGGTATCAGGATATTTGCTGTGCTGTTACTTGATATTTGGAATTATTATAATAAGCGCTGAGCAGGTAGTGGGCTGTCTGTGCTGGTTCATGTCTGACCTGCGCATGCGCGGAAGAGCCAGTGTGCGTCACCGTGCCGCCTTACAGAAAGCCGCGCCGGTAAGTTAAACTAACGTTGACTGTCTGGTTTCAATAAGATTTTTTTCCTGATATGCGTGACATTGTCTTGTTGGCAGAACGTTTGCCATTTTAATACACTGCATATGTCGACTTGAATGGTAGGTGAGTCAACAGGTCGTCTGTCCGTCTTATTTCATATATCTAAACTACCCTGGGCGCTAACGTTAGCTCACATAGCTAACAGTGTTGCTTCGTAGCTTCATTCTAGTTAGCGTTACTCGACCGGTTAGCTAAAGCTACATAGCTAGCTAAGCTAGTTCGGTTGAAAATGAAATCTGTTTTAGTGTAATTGCCTCAGTGGTAGAGCCTGGATATTGACGTTAAGCTTTCTTTCCGCTCAGAAGCTCTGTCTGTCTTGTTCAAAGCTGAGGCGGCTTTTGGTCAAAGCGGCCTCCCAGTTAGACCCAGTTAGCTAACCTAACTATCATGGCCGCCACGGCGGTGCTGCTGTTGCGCGTATAACGATTGTAGTTCGCTCTCAAAGCGATTTACTCAGTGTTGCTCGGATCTGTTCATTTATTAGCTGGTTGGTTTTGGTTACTGATTGCCGTCGCACGGAGTCCTGGCTTGCCATCTAGTGCCGTTACATTAAAGCTGCGGAGAGAGCTGCCGAGGCGGCTAACGCCCCATGCATTGTTGTAGCTGGCTTAGCTAATGAACTGTGATACGCTGCGTGTTTAATGATCAGTGGTTTGCTGAATTTCTATGAGATGTGACATCTAAGTTAACTACGCACAATGTTTGCATTATGTTTCGTTCATTGATGACTAGCTAGATAGATAGTTGGCTACGTCGGCACTTTTCATCTCCCATTGTAGATGCTTGGTTTCCATGGACACGCCTAAGCCGGAGAGCTTTACTGTACACCGCTCTCTTTTTTGGATCCTTGTTCATTGTGGCCCAAAACTGTAATAGATAAATAATCGTACAGCACATAAATGGTTAGTTTTGCCATTTAGATCAACATAGATTTTTCTAAGTAATTCATTGGCATCTGGCAGCTGAATATTGGAGTGGCACAAACTGGACCAACACAACTGAACTTTGTCTTTGGGTTGAGCCTGATGTTGATTTTCTTAGATCCTCATCAGGAACGGCTAACACTTTATCCAAATTACTCATCCTGCACTACCCCAAGCTGGATTTCATGTTTACTTGAATGTGTAAATCCAGTGTGTACACGTATAAAGGTTCTTGGGAAGCCCTCTTAGCATGTAAAATGTTTACACAGCAAAGGCATCATACAATAATATGTGTCTTTTGTATCACTTAGTGAGAGGAAATGGCCAGTCAGTCAATGGAGATTGTAGCAAAGGTGCTGGAGCAGCAGGTGCTGCATTCAGCACGGCTGGTTGAGGAGCAGCTGGATGCTGAGCTGGAGAAGCTTGAGCAAATGGATGAGGATGAACTGGAGCGTCTTAAAGAAAGGAGGCTGGAGGCCCTCAAGAAAGCCCAGAAGCAGAAGCAGGTGGGCACAATACTTGTAGTCTTTAGACATAAAGAAATGCCACTGTACTGTGAGTAGGCCATACATGGACACAACGTTAATTGGAGTGAACTGTGTACAACGCTTGTATAGCACAGTGTTAGGCAAAGATATTTGTCTGAATTACTGATTAGCATACCACTTCATTGCAGTAGTCATTGAGCTTTGTAAACAAGAATGTAGAAAGGCTTGTTGATATTTGTCTTTCATTAGGAGTGGATCTCTAAAGGCCATGGTGAATACAGAGAGATCCCAAGTGAGAAAGACTTCTTTGCAGAGGTCAAAGAAAGCAAAAATGTGGTTTGCCATTTCTACAGGGACTCCACTTTCAGGTGTGTAGGTTAATATTTTTGTATTAATATGATATTTTGTATTAAGAGAATTTTGTATTTTATTTTTGTTAACAAATGTGCTTTGTAGAATTTCCACCTTAAGTTGAATCTACTGTCTAGGTGTGCCTGACTAGAGATGTATTGTTTTTTTTTTTATAGTAAACACATCTGACTTTAGCACAGTTTTTCCATGCAGAATGTAGCTTACAGTCTGTGTTATGTAGATACCTGTACAGTTAAAGAACATATAAACATCATGTTGTCTGAAAATAGAAGCAGTGAAAACAAACATTGCTTTTGCTCTTATTCATTTTAAGTTTTGTGTTGTCCCCAAAAAAATTAAATCAATCACTTTTAAATCTCTTAAGATGCAAAATTTTGGACAAGCACTTGAATGTCTTGGCAAAGAAACATCTGGAGACAAAGTTCATCAAGCTGAATGTGGAGAAGGCTCCATTCCTTACAGAGAGACTTAGGATTAAAGTCATCCCAACGTTGGCACTGGTGAAAGATGGGAAAACTAAGGACTATGTAGTAGGCTTCACTGATCTAGGTAACACGGATGAATTCTCCACTGAAGTGTTGGAGTGGAGACTGGGCTGTTCGGACATTATCAACTATAGGTATGTTTTAAAAAAAAAAATAAAAATAAAAAAATACTTCTGATGCACACCTGGATTTTGTGCCTAAAATCTCAATACTTTCTCTGTTGTATTTGTCTAGTGGGAATCTTTTGGAGCCACCTACAGTTGGGCAGAAACCAGGGTCAAAGTTTACCAAGGTGGAGAAAAAAACGATCAGAGGGAAAGGCTATGACTCGGACTCCGAATCTGACGATGATTAAAGAAGACGAACATTTCCGTTTTTCTCAGGGCTTCTTACAAAAAGTACTAAGTCTTGTAGAACCAATTTGGGTTACTTGTTTGTCTTTTTTTTGTTTATTTGTTTTTAATTTCATATTTAACATGTTTGTTTTCCTTTGACAAGCTAATTAAATACTACTGCATATTCCTTTATATACATTTTATGTATACAAAGGCACCTGGAATCATTAAGAGTTTCACTATGGAGTGAGTCTTACTGGTTTTGATTAGCACTGTCATGCAATAAATTAAAATATATATGACTGACAGAATTAAAACTCTGCCTCCACTTGAGCAGTGGCCTATATGGCTTTCTTAGAGCTATTAGCATAGGTGTTTTTCCTAGCAGGCATAAGTTTTCTACATTTTGGCAAAAACAGTATGTTCAGTCATTCTGGGGAAAAATGGCCTTCATTTGAATCCTGCTTCAAAAGGGCAGTGCTGATGCCAGATTAATGGTGCAGCAGGTCCAAATGATACCATGTTACCTAGAAATCAAGGGGTTGTTTGTTGTAATAAACCCAATATCTGTTCTTATCTATATCAAGTAATTATATGTGGTTTCCTGTGTCTGATGCAGGAATTATTTATGTAGAGGGAATGTCTTTTAGTAAGGTCACAGAGAAATCTAAAATCATGGTGTGAACATTGGAGGTTTTAATTTATTCTGATTGTTTTAATGTTCAGCTCAAGGGGAGTTTGATCATCTAATGTAGTGGTCACCAGCCCTCGTCCACTTACCAGCACCTGCCAACTACCACTTCCTTTATCTAACACTAATACATCTAATCCAGCCAATCAAGGAAGATGTTTATTAGCTGGAGTAGGTGTGGTAGAGTGTAGCTGGAATGCTCTGTACATTTGTCTTCCTAACTTTTACACACCTAGTCCAGAACACAAGCAACTTTTTAATTACCTGAATGAATTGCATCAGGTGTGTAAATAAAGGAAAGTACAAAAATGTGCATAGTGTGGAGTCACCAGGTTTGGAAACTCCTGATGTACAAGACCAGAGCTGGTGACCACTGATCTAACAAGTGCCAAGGAAGCAAAATTTCTGGAAATTACCTCTTTTTGATCTGTGTGAATGGAAGTGCACCACTTATTTTCTAACAGTAAGTGAAAACTTATTAAAAAGAACAAAAAACAGAATTCAGTGTGAAGCTGGTTTTACTCTCCCCTTAACAGAAACGTAAACTTGATAGTAGGGACAAGTTTGCTCAGTCTTTTTGTTAATGCTGTTCAATAAATTAAGTAATTATGCAGCCCTTCTCAAAATTGAGAAGGTCAGGGGCTCCCAAGTGGCGCAACCATCTAAGCGTTGACCCTATCATCAGGAGATCGCGAGTTCAATCCCTGGTGATGCTACAGCCATCCGTAGCCGGGAGTCTGAGAGAGCACAATTGGCCTTGCTCTCTCTGGGTGGGTGGGATGGCTGCCCTTCTCCCCCCATCACTCACCCAGCGCGATGCTAGTCAGCGCAGGCGTCTGTTAGCTGACGTAACAGATCTGGCTGTTTCCTCCGAGCGCGTTCGGCTGTCCAGTGATGTTGCGTGAGCGGCAGCTCGAAAAGAAGCGGTCAGTGCAAATCATGGGTGTCCAATCTGGTCTACGAAGGGCCAGTGTGGCTGCAGGTTTTTATTCAAAAGTAGGATCTTATATCAACTGTTCGAAGACAGGGACCACCCGATTAAACAAGTTGAATCTGGTGTGCTCCAGCTTGGCTGGAATGAAAACCTGTGGCCCTCTGCAGATAAGACTGCACACCCTTGGATTTAAGAAATTTGCATGCAGAACAAAGTGTATTCCCACCCTTAACCTTGGGCAGTATAAAAACTACAAACTAACATGAAACAGACTTTGACTGAAAAAATATTTTTTGGGAAAAATGACATTCATGATTCACTTTAACTCATTAGAAATATTTAATAAACATCAAATACACAAGTATGAACAAGAGCAGCTACGATTCAACGGCTTTCTGTTCCACAGGTTTTTGAGGATGTCTCACCACAAGTTCCCCTCTGCTGTTCAGATAGGAATCTGCCATTTCTTCTTCTGAAGGTAGTCCATGAGGAAGCTTCAAGGGTTCAATTCTAAACACAGAAAAATATATTTGGCAGAGGATCATAGATGGATGCCTGATCCACCAGGAGATCTGCTATTTTGCACTGTTCAAACTCTTACCTAACAAATGTGATCAACTAATCAGTTGGTACTTGGAAGCATCTGAATATTAAAATCATGTTAGATTGCTGCTCTTTGCTTCCAGCCCTGGAGGGTCATATCGTTTTCCCCTCTTCTAAAGTATCTGGTTCAACTAATAAGCTATTTACTGAGCTCCTCCTCAAATGAACTGTTACACTAAAGAAAGAAAAGAACCTAATGTGGCCTCTATAACTAGAAATGAACACTGAGCTCAACTCAGCACTGTGTACTAGACATCCAAGAGAGGAACGTAGGCACCGCTGTATTAAAGCCTGTAAACATTTGCTAGAGAACACTTAAAACAACACTTACTTAACAAGATGCTTAATGATTTTCAGTTGGTTATTCACTGATGGTGTGTTCTTATGTACTCTGGGCTCATGTGCCTGTCAAATAGAAAAAGAAAAAAAAAAATCAGATGAGTTGGGACAATTTAGCAGTTTCAAATACATAACAATGGTGAATATTTTTATTTTTTAGCAAAGGACTTCAGCTCACCTTCATTAATCCCAAACTCTTCACTACCTTCTTTTCCCAGTAAGGTCGTCTCATTGTGCTCTTGACCCGAGTCACTATGTGTAGTTTATGTGGCTGCTCTGGATTGCCACCATACTTTTCATGCTCCTTTAAACGCTCTTCAAACACCTATATTGTAGAGGAAGATCAGATATGCTGAACAGACTTTCCCCAGACTTTAATCACACTTTTTGGAAGTCTCATTTTTCCAGATTTTGTATTTTAAGCTAAGCAATGCAGGTTTTGATTCTAAAATGAAAAGCGAACAGTGAACATAATAAAGACAATCAAAATATAATCATGCCACTCCAGAAAATGGTGCTTTATACACCAAATGTTTATGGACATCATCCAGTGGTTTTTTTTTTCTAAATTAGGTGTATTAGTAGGGAGTCTGGGTCCCTTTGCTGCAGTAAATGCCTCTACTCTTCTGGCTTTACACTAGAAGTTGGAATGTGAAGATTTTGTTGCGTTCAGCCAAAAGAGTTCTAGTGAGGTCAAATACTGATACTTAATGATTAGTTCTACATCACAAGCACCACTCCAGCTTTGCACGTCCCCAGCTGATGTTTGGCATTGGGCATGGTGACCTTAAGCTCCGAAGTATTCCATTCTATTGTCAATATTCTATGGATATAATGCAAGCTGTGTGTGCAGTTTAACGCCAGTGTCAGAAATGGGTGCACCTTGAAGAGGATATTTCAAATGTTCTGCATAATTAAATGAATAAAATGTGAATTTAGAGTATTTTGATGTGAAATCCTCCACTCTAGAAAAGCCTGAATTGTTCACAGTGGTGATGGTAGGAACATATATATATACACACATATATACATATATATATATATATATATATATATATATATATACACACACACACATATATATATATATATATATATATATATATATATATATATATATATATATATATATATATATATATATACACACACATATACACACAGTAGTTTTACAGTTTTTAGATAGTTGTTAGACTTGTTATGTAAACCCCATTCATGGCAGAGGGTCCAACGAACGTCACTGTAAGGCAAAAAAGTCGCCTGAGATTTTTTTTTTTTGATTTACCACTATTTTGCCATAATCAACTGATCATTTTGGATAATAAATAAAATGGCTGTATTTGAGTTATGTTGTAGATGTTGTGACCCGTGTTTTCTATCATCAAAACGTATAAGTAGGTAAGGGTATCTAAAATGAATCATTTCACATCAAACCATTCTGAATGTCTTTGTTTACATCTCAACGATTTAACTGTGTAGGAATTTTAAAAACTAGGCTGAATTCCCCTTTAAAGTAGCTGAATTCACTAATTAGAAGTGCTGTGTGGAATGGGTGCTTAAGCCCTCGCTCTGCGAAGGTGGTTTGTAAAGATTAGGATGGCCACATGACACTAGAGAGGTGGTACTGCTAATTGTGTCCTCTGACATTTTGTTTGTTTGTTTGATTTACATACCTCTGGAGGAATGCGAGATTTTGTAAACTTGCTGCGACAAACCACGAACAGCGGCCATGAGGAAGCTGCTACTGGCAGATTCTGCAAAGACAATTCATTCAGTACTTAAAGTTCACGACTTACTTGGCACTTTAGGAAATCAACGGTTTGTTACTGTGACTCATATAATAAAAAGAAGTCTCTTACTAGAACTGTCCGTTCAACCTAAACGGTGTAGCAGTTACTAACCGTATCTGCTGCACTATTTAACCTAAGGTGGACCGGAAAATTCGAAGAACTTTGGCTTTGTACTAATATAATATCTCGGATGTAAAGGGGGTAACTGTGTCCCTACCTGAACCCAGACTGGGGCTGACCGCTGTACAGCTCGACACAGCAGCGCTGCCATGGCTGAGTCTCTGCTGCAGCGTTAAAGCCAAGGTTACTGAACACACACAGCTGCCGGAGACGCGCTAAAGGGGGCGGCCAGTCCGCTCTCCTGTGTGATAACCTTAACCTCACAGTAATCTCTGCGTCGACATGAACATATTTCTACAAAACACTTTGTTTCAACAAAACCCGTTGAGTTTACAATCTCCCGGGTCACACTCATACATGCTAGCACGCGTCAAGGAGGCGGAAGTTAGTCCTTCGGAATAATAATGTGGGGTATCTGCTGAGTACTTTGGTTCCTATACTTGCAGCTATTACTAATATAGTATATCTGTCCCCCTAATTCTGGTCTGTATGCGCCTTTATGAAATTGTATTAATTATGCGCTGGACTGTCAATTTTATTTCATGGTATATTTTACGGCAGACGCTTTTCTGTTTAATTTCCAGAGGGACATATTAGTGCAAGCACCGCATGAACGTAAGCTTAGGTTCCACAACATGAGCTGCTTTTACAGTGTTTGTTTCTGATGTAAGATAAAGTGATCTGAAATGTGATCGGAAAATAGTCTTTTTTCCATTTTTGTTTTATTGATAGAAGGATTAAGGAGACCACTGTGTATCTGTACCGTGTGGATCTGAAGCTGATACAGTCATGTCCCTGAACTGCCTCCCTGGTATGGAAACATCAGCCGTCTCTGTCCTTAAGAGAGCTGTGGAGCTCGATCAGAGTTCACGCTTTCAGGAATCTCTTGTGTGCTACCAGGAGGGCATTCAGTTACTACTAGATGTGCTGAAAGGTAACAAAACATGTTTGGTTCAAATAGTAGGTGTTTACACTGTATGTTAAAAAGTAGACGTTTCTTCTGAAATCATGAGTATTAATAGGGAGTTTGTCCCCTTTCTGCTGTAGTAACAGCTTCTATTTTTCTTGGAGGACTTTATACTAGATGTTAGAACATTGCTGTGAAGATAAATTGCATTCAGCCACAAGAGCATTAGTGAGGTCAGGTACTGTATTGGATTATTATTTCTGGATCACAAACACCACTCCAACTCATCCCAAAGGTATTGGATGGAGCTTTATCCCCCAGAGAATGCAGTTCCACTGCTCTTTTTTTGGACATATAGTGCACCTCAGATAAATGCATCTCTTATCTATTGGGGGTCCAATAACTACCCAAAAGGGCTGTATAGCCCTCATGGAGGTCCAGCACAGTTTGGTGATTTACTTATGTAAACACACCTGGTTCAACTCATCTGTTAGTTCCCAGGTTTAGTAGATGTGTTTGAGCAGGGATATCTTCAAACTGGTCTGGACATCAGCCCTCCAAGCCTGAGATTGGAGAACGCTGCCTTAAACTCATCTGTGGCTGCTCGAGTGCACCCAATTGTAGTGACTGTGCTTTTTAATTAAGATTCTACAAGCTGTATTTGTGCAGTTGAATGTCTGTGTGTGGATAGTGAAATACTTTTGGACATACAGTGTCCCTCAGATAAACACAATCTTTAATGGACCAAATACCAACCCAAGTCTGGTCCAGCAATGGAATTCTAATCACCTGTGATGACTTGCCTTTCCTCAGCGGTTAAAGATGACTCAAAAAAAGTCCACTACAGAGAGAAGATCAAAGGTTACATGGATCGAGCTGAGCAGATCAAAGATCACCTGAACAAAGTGAAAGAAGGTAAAAAGAGATGTGCAGATGCAGGGCAATTGACATAGAAGTTGTGAGAATGCCATATTCTGTTGTATTCTGTGCAGATAATGCACTGTTGGCTATGCTTTTCTTTATTTCACATTCAGTTCACTGCTCACTTGTAGATGCTCATGCCATTTTCTTTATTTTATTCTATGCATCCAGAGGGCAAATACCATGAGCAAATTAAAATTACAGAAGATGCCACTGGTTTCAGCTATGAGACTCTTTTCAAGCCATACATCAAGGAAGGGCTTACTGAAGTCTGGGTTGAGGATCCATACATACGACATGTGCACCAGGTAAGAATGACATATACTGTCTGTGTGATCAGGACGTGAACAGAAAACCTCTGAAGTATTTGATCTTACAATAGGAAATGAGAGGCAGCCTTGATCTACTTTGCAGTCGTTTAAAAAAGTAGGATTTTGGAAATGAGTGTGTTTGATTTTTGCCTTGCAGCTGTATAACTTCGTGCGTTTCTGTGAGATGCTACTGAAGGCGAAATGTAATGTTAAGAAGATTCATCTCCTGACCTCGCAAGATGAAGTAAGTACTTTGCATGAACACACTATAAATGTTTTATATCGTCATAATGAAGAGTCGTACACATATTACAGAAATGGCTTTTTCTATCTTACTGAATAATCCTAGTGAATTTATATGCATAATCCATTCTTCTTCTTCCTGTAGGATAGCTCCTCTCAGCAAGTCAGTGCACTAGCAGAAATAAAGCAGTCTTTGCAGACTCAGAATGTCTGTCTGGACATCAAGTACTCCTCCACTATTCATGATAGGGAGATCAGGTAATAATCACCGTATTAAAGATTGTGTTGATGTCATGTAAGAGCTGCCCGCCATATTGTTGACCTGCGCTAGCCAGATTGGTTTGTGACACTGACAGAAAATTATAAAATTAGCTTGTAAAAGTCGTATTTTGTTATTATTATAATGTATGCTAAGTATCATTATTATGTAAATAGATTTATATATCTGTAATTATTATATTAACATATATATTATTATAAGTGGCTTTGGCTAGTTTTTACGCAGTTCAAATGACGAACAGTGGAATCTGTCCTGCATGAACACCCAGTTTTCATTTTAAGACAGTGTGCCTATGATGTTACACATACAGCATTTCATACATAAATTCTGTCTTATTGACTTATGTTTTGTAGGTGTAACTGGACTGATCTGGCACGTGCATCTTTAGCGCTGGCATTAGGCTGGGAAGAGATTACTGCTGGCACATATAGTAATATTAGTCAAAATCTGTTAGTATTTAAACATCACAGTAAGAAAATATTTTATATTGTTATATTTATACTTCATGTGTTTTGTCTGAGGTGACTGCTCTCCATTATTTGCTGTTAAACTAGGTCATCAACATGGCAGCTGCGACAACAAAGTCATGTGACTAAAATGTATAGGTTGTATTAAACATTATAGTTTAAGTGTCAAATTTATGAAACAGAGGTTTGTTCACTCAGATTCGATAATGGTTGGATCATTAAGATCGGCAGAGGGCTTGATTACTTCAAGAAACCTAAGGTAAGAATTTGAGACCAAAGTCTGTAGTGAAAAGTGGATCTAGATATTTAAAGACTTACCCCTACACTTTCATGTGACTGAATCTTAAAGTGTTTTTTTTTTCTCTCCGTAGGGCCGCTTCTCCATTGGCTACTGTGACTATGACTTGAGAGAGTGTCATGAGACTACAGTAGATGTTTTTCACACAAAGCACACAAAAAAGACATGACCAAAAACAGTGCCCTCATTCTGCACTGCATCATGTTTAAGCGTTTAAACAGTCATTCGTCCATACATGCCTTTTTTCTGAGGGTGTTCTGAAACTTTTCCTAACTCTGGGATCTACTGTTTACACACTAACATAAGAATAGAAGTTTATATTTTGCACTTTAAAAAGTGCCTAATATATTGATGTGCTTTGTTACCGCTCAATATCAGCCGATTTGTTTTTTGTTTATTTTTTAATCATGTAAACTGTTTTAGAATCAGTAATTATTTGAAATATTTCTAATTTTTCTGCTTTCTCAAAATGTGCAGGGCAAGGGTTTCGATATATGTATTTATTTACCTCTTAATGTCTTTATTGCTTGTATAAATGGGGAAATTTGCACTGGGTGGGTTTTTTATAAGGAATAATGTAATTTAATTACATAATAAAACACAAATAACATGTTCTTGAGTCATTGTATGAAAAAAATTCCATTGTCCACAACAATTAATGCTGTGTATAAAAGATAAAAATGTTTAATGAAAATGAAAATGTTCAAAGTTTAATATATGAATTCAAATGTATCATTAACACAGTGTGATTTATTTTTTTTTTACTGCAGGGATGAAAAAAGTCCACTGCTCTGCAAAAGTCTGAGCCCACCCTTCTATTGTTTAGTTTCCACTTGGCCTTTAAATACAAATCATGTATTTATTTTTCTACGTCAGGGAAAACGCAATAAACATATATAACAAGAAATTACACAGAAGCCTCAAGAACTAAACATAATATTAATTTTTTCAGTATTTAGTGTGTCCACGTTTTACTTTTATTACAGCTTTTGTTTGTTTTTTTTTTTGTTTTTTTAGGATATGTGCTTTCAGTTTTTCAAAGAAATCCACAGACATATTTTTCCACATCTACACAATTGTTAGGAGTCCCATTTGCTCTAAAACTCCAGTTTTGGACCCCCGCCCCCCCACAGCCTCCACTCTTCTAGGAAAGTTTCCACAAGATTTTGGAGTGTATCTGTGGAAATTTGTGCCCACTCAGTCATGCTGGATGAGAAGGCCTGGCTTGCTATCAACATTGCAATTCATTCCAAAGTTGTTCAGTGGGGTTGAGGTCAGAGCTCTGTGCAGGTCACAGGACTTCCTCAACACCAAACCATGCCTTTATGGACCTCGCATTTCATGCTGGAACAGAAAAGAGCCTTCCCCAAACTGTTGCTACAAATTTGGAAGCAAATAATTGTCCAAAATGTCTTTATATACTGTACAGCTCAACATTACCCTTCACCGGAACTAAGGGGCCGAGCCCAAACCCTGAAAAACAGCCTCAGACTATTATTTCTCCTCCACCAAACTTTACTGTTGGCACTTTGCATTCATATATACAGCATTCTCCTGGCATCTGCCAAATCCAGATTCGTCCATCAGACTGCCAGAGAGTGAAGCATGATTCATTATTCCAAAGAAAATGTTTCTACTGCTCCAGAATCCAGTGGTGTCATGCTTTGCACCCCTCCAGCTGACGCTTCGCATTGCTTATAGTGATCTTAGGCTTGTGTACAGCTGCTCGGCCATGGAAACACATTTTATGATGCTGATCTTAATGTTGCTTCCAGCAGTTTGGAACTCTGTAGTGAGTGTTACAACACACGATAGGCGAATTTACACACTACTCAGTTCTGCGCTCGGCAGCCCTGCTCTATGAGTTTGCGTGGTCTATGCGTTGGCTAAGCTGTTGCCCATTGACGTTTCCTTTTCACAATATAAGCACTTACAGTTGACCAGGGCAGATCTAGCAGGGCAGAACTTTCACAGACTGCCTTGTGGCAAAAGTGGCCTTTGATGGTGTCACATTTAAAGTTAGCTCTGCAGTGTGGCCTGTTCTACTGCCAGTGCTTGTCTGTAAAGATTGCATGGCTGTGTGCTTGATTTTCTACTCCTGTTAGCAGTGGGTGTGGCTAAAACACCTGAGTTCCATATTTAAGAGTGTTGTGCACATACTTTTGGTCACATAGTACATGTCTGTCCCACATTAATACAAAAATATATCAACTGAATATAAAAACATATTATATATATTTATAACTTTTTAACTTTTTTTAAAAAACTTTTTTTCTTTCCAATCACAGCAATTAATTTAATCATAAAAATAAAAAAACACATTGAGTGATATGATGAAAATTATTTGACATGATTTAAGCCTTTTGGGAAGCTAAGTTCAAAACTAGTGAATTTGTTTTTCATTCAACATTTATTCGTTGTTTTCTCTATATTTAACAGGGTTCAACAATCATAAGATTTCCACCCTGTATCACAAAAAACTTTTTAAAATTTATTATTTCTGTCTATGCAGTTATATTCAGAAGAGCCTTGTAATTTACTGTTGAAAACTGATGCTTAAAGGTTAAAATGAAATATTCCACCCCGTCACTTTCACCTCCATCACTTCTTGATATGATAGAATCGTCTTTGTTATTTGCCACAACATGATCAATCTGCTTACAGTGGTGGGAAAATCTGTTTTGGTAAGCGCGGTTGACACTGGAGGATGAAAAATTAAGAGGTTTTTCATTCTTATCACTTCCGCCATCTAGTGGTCAGTAGAGTAACCGTCCTGAGCTCCTCGCCGCTGTGGCTCTAACAGGAGGCGACAGGAACGTCACCGTGTTGGGAGGAAAGCAGCGGTTTGCTGTTACTGGCTGCTTCTCAGCACCTGGCAGAGGTCTCCGTGCCCGAGAGAAAGTCATGCCAATGCACAGAGAGTGACTTTGAACCAGTGACCGATAAACTTTGTCTAGTAGTCGTAGTGCTTTCGGAGTCGTCAAAGGTGAGTAACATTAACACAGCCACTACTCTTAAGCAGACTGTCTGCTTAATGTCTGATTTTGTTTCTGGTTCAGGCTTCGACTGCGGTCCTAACTCAGCTGTAAAGGTGTGTGTGGTTGCTGTGGGTTATCTTAATGAAACACACTGTCTCATTTGGACGAAACTACTGTTTCTGATAGATTAGCAGTTATTGCTGCTCAAAGTTCGAGCTAAAAGTGGCCTGACAGTGACAGGTAGCTTACGTAGTCAGATGGGTAAACCTTCAGTCTGTGGGCTTTAGTTAGAGCATCCACCTTAAAAGAATAAAACAGAATGTGCTCATATATTAAAACAGTTTGATATTTTAACCCTCGCATTAGAATAAAAAAATACGTTTTTTTCAATGAAATAACCGCCTGAATGCCCAGCGGGAGGGGATTAAATCTATCTATAATCGCCCTTAATCTCGATATGCGCTCCTCATCTCATTTTTTTCTCGAGAAGAGGAAAAAAAATGAAAAATGGAGCGTGTCTCTAAATAACAAATTAATAATCTTTCATGCAGTGGAGCAGATTGTAAAGATTGTTGATTGCTAAAACCTAAATGCCATGGTGTTCATCATAGTTACATTTATTGTAAAAGTCATTACAGTATCGGTTACCTGCTAACACCATAAGTGACCAAAAATATCAGTAATATACATTTACAAATGGAGATCCTGTCAGTTTGATCACACAGACAGTCACTTCTTTAGCCTGTGTTGTTTCAGCAGAGTAGCCTACTTAAGGGCAAGTATGTGTTAATAAAGAGGAGGAGGGTGGCTCCTTATTAACAGAGCAGATTAAAATAGATCATTGCTGGTTGTGAGCTTTCATGAGTCCCCACATCAGTGTGAGATGTAGTAAAATGGCAGCTTGGATTAGACTTAAAGTCCAGACACATAATGTAGGGTAGCTGAAAGTCACCCAGATGTCGTGTTGACTTTTTGTTCAGTAGGAGGAGGAAAGGAGGGGGATTTGCGGACAACTCCTGATCCTGGCACAGATTTGTGCTGTGTATCTGGGGCAAAGCTGCTCTGTGCTTTGTGCTGTGCTGGATATAAAATGTTCCATCCGGAGCCAGATAATAGGAGACGGAGATGAACGAATGAGTAAGTGAATGGCATTTTGTTATGAGAGGGTTAATGCGCAGCTAATGGATTAACTGTTGCCATGCTAGGCTTTGTGTTTTACTACGAGCAGTTGAGCTCTTGGAATAGTTAGCATAATGTCCAGAATGCAGTTATATTACCAGTGCAGTTGTGTTTGCTCATCCAGTTGTGTGCTATATCCTGCATTTTTCTTGGATTTTTTATGACGTTTGTGTGGGATTATGTACTAAAATCAGTCATCATTCATTTCTTCATGACTTTTTCCCAGCCTTTCTTTAATCATTGTTGTATGTAAAAGACTTCTGTTTTGTCTGGCTGCACTGTATTGCACCTCATTCAAAGGCAGTCTGGGCTGAAACGCTCCTTATAACTTCTGTGTGGGTGGAGCTAAAGCTTTGAACGCTGAATAGGATATGCAAATGAGTTGGTTTTTGTGACATCGCTGTTTTAAGTAGGTTTTATATATATATATATATATATATATATATTTTGGAATTTCAGTGCTGTTGTACCTCCTTTAGAATGGCACCTGTCTGTAAACAGAAGTCAGCTGAGAACTGGATTAATTTTTCAGGCTGTAAAAATATTCATATAGTATAAAGACTGATTAAGCAAGGCTCAGCTCACACAGTGGGAAGGGAAACCCTGATCTAATCCCAACATAACCTGTTGAGTTTAATTGCTATTGTAACGTCAATGGCAATTAAACTCATTTGCTCATTAGATTCACAGGCAGGCACAAGGCCCTTTTAGATGTTGACCAATGCTAAGGTGTTTTACATAGACGTGGAAACGTTATCAATACTGAACGATAGCAGACAGACTCTTTGCATACAAAAACAGAAATTGCCCTGAAGAGTGTCAATGAAACTGCATAACACTTCTCGCTATTCAGTTACCATAACAGTGAGATTTTCATTACGCTTTCATCAGGAGTTACGTTCATTTTGGCAAAGTCCAAGTAATCACAAACACAAGATCATTAAAGCAGAATTTAAGCTGAAAATGTCCCTCAGGTCGAGGCTAACTTAGCCAAAAGATTAAGACTTTGAAGAACTCTTTGTGTTCCTTCAGAATAAGGATTTCTACTCTGAAAATAACTGCCGGTGCTAATTTCATCTGTCTACTAATGTTTTCTGCAGGTATTCCTGCATATCCTACATAGACAGTCTGAGTGGCTTGTGGTCTTGTGTGTTAGGGTGATGTGTGAACGATGCCATTGCCCAGCCAGCACAGTGCAGCCTCTGTGTTCATTCCTGTGCTCCAAATCAGTTTAGCGTTTCATAAGAAGCTTACGCATGCCGCCCAGTGTGTGTCAATAATGTAATAGAGTGTGTGAGTGTGTATGTGTGGCACCCAGGACTCAACTGTCAAAATATCAACCATGATGCTGAAAGTCTACTATTGGCCTTTTACCCCATTACCTGGCATTTTTTTGCCCTCTTTTTCTCTTTCTGATTCTGTCTTCCACTCACTCCACTGTTCTATAAAGAAGACAATGCTTCAGTGGCAAAATTCATTTAAAAAAAAACTCAAGTGATCACGAGAGAGACAGAGTGGGGGAAAGAGACAGATTTTCGTGGCCAGGGTAAGTGAAGTGTTTTTTTTTTATGTTGCAGTTAAAATGATTTTTGTTCCTTTGCTCATGTAAACAGTTATATAGAACTATGGTTCTTAACTCTGCGGCTGGAATTTGTCTGCCTGCATATTTTAGCTGGGGAAACATTAAAATGTGCAAGACCAGGATTGAGGAACATGGAGACAGATTGACACTTACATATATTTATTTATGTGGCTTTTACATAAACTGGTTCATATACTGCTGACACAAGTCATGTTGGGTCTATGGATTCATGCTGTGGCACCAAATTCTGACTGCTTCAGCAGAACTCCAGTTTCATCAGACCAGGCTACATTTTCCAGTCTTCTACTGTCCAGTTTTGGTGAGCCTATGCCCACAGCAGCCTCACTTTTCTGTTCTTGGCTGACAGAAGTGGAACCTGACATGGTCATCTGCTGTTGTAGCCCATCCACCTCAATGTGGAACATCTTGTTCATTCTGAGATGCTTTTCTGCTCACCACAGTTGTACAGAGTGGTTATCTCAGTTACTGTGGCCTGGTCAGCTCGGGCATTTTTTCTTTATTACGCTGTTCTGAGTAAACTCTAGAGACTGTTGTGGGTGAAAATCACAGGAGATCACCAGTTATAGAAATACTCAAACCAGCCTGCCTGGCACCAACAATCATGCCACGGTCAAAATCAATGAGATCACATTTTTCTCCCATATCCCCATGCTGGCCTATATCTGCATGATTTTAAGCACTGTAGTTTATTATGTAGTTAATTTATTTAAAAGATGTAGGGATGTAACACATACAACTCTTATACTTTAGCACAAGTTGAATGCAAACACTTAATTTAATTCATCATTATGTAAAGCAACTCTCTGTCAAGGATGAAATGATAGTGTAATCAGAGATTTTTGGATAGTAATGCAGCAGTACCAATTGGCCCATTTAAATTTGCATGCCACTGACCGTGGAGTAGAAGACCGTGTCAGCAATCAGCCTGTCTGATCCTCACATCAGTCTGCACATTTTGCATAGACACACATACACACATGTACAAATGTCCATATACACAGCTGGAGGTCACGTTACAAGAGCCTTCTTTATATGTTGCTCTTGGAGAGCTGACCCACTTTTTGTGAACTAAGAGAGCTGATTTATGCCATATGCACTAGCAAATATAAAAAAAATGTATAGAAGAAACGCTAGTTTCACATACTGTGTGGCTACTTATGGCAGAGCTTAGACAGGGTAACCACAGTGTAAGGCCACTGTTTGCATGTGAAAACAGTGCAGTTCAGGCCTGGTGGACTTTGCATGCTGTTCTCTACCATTACGCGCTGCTGTTATCAAGGTGTGGTCAGTGATAAGAAAGTACAGCTGTCATTGGAAAGGTCTTTGATGCACATAAGATAGAGAAGACATGCAGTTCCCACCCCCTGGGAAAACACATCTACTAAACTGACCACTTTGGGCTAAACAAAAACAAGTGTGAACAGTGTGTGTGACAACACACATATAACTGAGTTGATGACATGGGCATTACTAGTATAAGATAAAATAATCACAGTGCTTTACAATTATAAACAGAGACATCTTTAAAACCACTTAAAAAGCTTGGCTTGAACCACACTGTACCATAATCACAGAAAAAGAAAGCAGCACAGTCATAACAGTCTGAGCTAGATAGAAGACGGGAATAACACTAATGAGAAAGAACCTTTGAGCTCAGTTTGCTTATGGGAATGCTCTGCTTCGTCTTATCAGGCAGCCTTGTAAAAGCCATAAGTATTTAACAATGCTGTAGGTCGACTCTTATGTCTGTGGCGTTCTTGTTCTCTTGGTCTTCATCTCCTGTCTGTGTCTCACATCTTGTCTTACTCAACTCTCTAATTTTATCCTTTTTTAATTTTGTTAGCAGTGAAGAATAGTGCTATGGAGGCCACAGGGGACCAGGAGGGAGGGAACAGTGAAGACTTAACAGGTCAGAACGTCCCTGGAATGTTTCCTGATCAGCTCAGTATTATGTCTAATAATATTTATTGTTTGAATGTCCTTACTAAATGTATTTCTGCTTTATTTATCTGTTGGATCAGTTATTGTTGGAAACATGCTAAGGTCAATAATATGTATTTTTAAATATTTTTTCAAGAGTAAATGAAATGACCTACAGTGGACCCAAAATTGAATGGGTTTAATTTTGGCCTAAATTAAAAACAATTAAATCAAATAAAAAGTAGCGAGTGCCTCATCATAGTGGGTTAATGTTCCATTTGATATGCTTGTGCCAGTTGCACATGGTATACTGGATTTCACAAAACAGCTGAAATTAGAACAACAACAGTATTGCTAAATGCTGTCCAATTATTTGTAATATTTTATAATTGTGAATAATTATGTTCCACAAAATCAGAGGAGAATCAGTATGACATTAGCAGAGCTACACAGTACTTAATGATGTACACATGCTACGTGTTACCCCAGTGTTTGTTTAATTAACCAATCAACAAAACCAATGAAATTAAGATCTCGATCTTGGAATGCAGTTTCAAAAGGCAAGAACAGACCTTGTCATGATAACAGTTTGTGTTATTTATAGCTTTTAAAAATGTAAACAAGGGTTGTCAGATGCTCCGCTGAACATTTTTCAGAAAGTTATTAAATAATAATTAATACACTGCAGTTATTTATTTATAGCAATTTCTCTGCAAAAAATCCACCCTTGAGTTTTGTTCACCACTTTACAATTATGATGCATTCCTGATATTTTATTGTAATATAACGTTGGAGTTGTCTTTAGGGAAGAAAAAGCCTAAGCTGCAGATCTTGAAGTCGAGGCTATTTGGGAAGATGAAGAGAAAGGAAAATGAAGGAGTGATGAAGCAGAGTCAGTCAGCTAGTGACATCATGGAAGGCATTCGGAACCTCGAAGACAACTATAAGTGAGAAACATTATCTGTTCTGATTGTGATTACATTTTTATTCAGGATGTTTTATGTTCTTTTGCATTTTAAAAGTTTGATGTGGTCAACTATAATTTATTATTTTTGACTACCTAAAGTTTGTGACTCATTACATTTCCCCTCAGTTGTTCCCAGAGCATGCTGGGATCCAGAGCATTGTCACATGACAGTATCTTTCTGTCAGACCAGTGCCAGTCAGACCCTGAGCCACAAAGGGTTCTCTCTCAGGAGAACATCCACGGAAAAATACGAGCATTGCAGGTCAGTATATTTACACACTCTGACTTTGGTTTCTCTTTCTATGTTTGTTTCATAGCTGCATGCTGAGAGAAAATGCTAAAAAAAGGTTTTTCCAACAAGAAATAGAAAATTACATAGACTGTATGATCATTGTTATGTTTGATTAGATGAAGCTGCAGCAGCAGAACATGCATCTTGGTCCACCTCCTCTGGTGTTGCCCATTAAACGGTCCGAAGATCCTGGTGGAAGCTCAGAAGACGATGGACTTCCTCACAGCCCTCCTGAAATCTTGGGAATACCCAAGAACATGCCATACAAGGTGACCGGCTTCATATACAACTGTCATAATCTCCCCCACAGAATATATTCTTTAAAAGACCCAGCCACAAAATTTGTCTTTTTCATATTGATTGCCTCATAATTTTTCCTTAAACATCTTTCATTCATTACAAGTCTTGTAAAGCCTTCAATATGACAAATGGGTACTGTATATTGTGTCTGCTGCACTCTCCACCTCCATCTCTTGCACCTTCAATATGTGTTACTTATGTTACTGTCATCCCATAGTTTATGTGACTAAAACCTCCTCCCCATTACCCTTGTAGTTTCTCATTCCTCCCAGGAACCACAGCTCATTGAGTTTAGGTGGGACAGGAAGTGAAGAAGAAGAACAGGTACCATCACTTTTTGTCTCACCTCTCTTATTCTTCTGACTCCATTGTATACTTACTGCTCTTACAGTCTCAGGTAGTGCAAGTATGAAGGTTCACATAATTCTAAACATATTTACCTGTCATATTGTAATTATTCATAATACTACTATTCTTAGATCTTTATAATCATGGGTACAGACCTGTGACAAACATAAATATTCTTATCCAACAATTTGAAAGTTTATTTAAATTATCCATTTGTTGGCACCATTTTTTCTACATTTCGGCATAATTGAGATATAAACAAACTCATTCAGAGTGTTTAGACAGGAAATGATTCATTGTAAAGAAACTTACCAACTCAGATTTCTTTCCAGTGGTGGTGAGAAGAACCAAGCATTGTGATGTCTACAACCCAAATATAGCCATTTTATTTAGAATCCAATACCAACAGTGTCTTTTGAGTTTTTATATCATCACCATCCAAAGAAAAATGTGTATCCCTTTTTTTTTATTTTACTACATCATTTGTATCCTGCCTTCCACCCAATGACAGCTGGGATAGGCTCCAGCACCTCCGTGACCCAGAGGAATAAGCGGTTTAGATGATGTGTGTGTGTGTGTATGTGTACATCATTTGTGCATGGCAGCTGTTCTCTACATTGTATGCTTAGAATAAAATCTCTTTACATTATCTTACATTGAAAGCAAAAAAAACGTTTTTACCTTCTCCTGTACAGTTATTTTTTTGGATATACTTATTTTTCTTTGGACAGTGATAATATGGAACATTAATCATTCTAAAATTGTGGTAAATCTGAAAAATAAGGCTTATTTTTAACACTTTTTTCCTTACAGCTCCCTGCATGTACTCTCCAGCATGAACCAATTTGAAAAATTATGTTGTAGGCCAAAATCTTATCTCAGAACTGTGGTAAAACAATGAGGCAGCATATTTGCAAGCATTTTCTGTAATAAGTTTCTGTGATGCCGCTTTTGGAGGCATTAAATTCTTCTGACAGCTGGTTCCTATCACAACCACAGTCAACAATTCTGACTGTGTAACTTTGTTTTCATCTTAATGATTTCATTATGTCGAAATTTTGAAAAGTATTGAAAAGGTGCAGTTCCCCCTTAAGTAAATCACTCAGTCATATGGTCAGAAGAATTGCATCCATGCCTGCCTGAATGATACTTCCTCCACCTCTGTATTTTCTTGCAATAGCAGTTGGACAGACAGCCAAAGTTCTGATGCATTCTTAAATGACTCAAATGAATTTTTGTCCTATGTTTGTAATCTAGGCCCCCTTGCAGCCTTCAGCCCAGCCAGTTTCGACTCGGCCCATCAGCCCCACACCAGCCCCTGTCTCTCCCTCTGTGCCTGGCCCTGGGGTGGACTTCAGCACCCCCGCCCAGTTTATTCCCTGCCTAGACAACTCTGCTGCTCGGCACCGGATGTCCGTTAAGCCTCGGAATCAGAGAGCCAGTACTAAGAGCAGAAGACTGCCCACCTCAGTGAGTCAGGCTGGTTTACTTTTCTTAATTCCACCACAGAGCTGTTAAGCTTCATTACTTGCCATGGCAAAAGTACTTGCATGTAGAGCCATGTCATTAAATACATTTTCTGGTTCAAATATTCTTTTGATCTCAGGATTACAACAAATGTTTAGTTTAATTATAGTTAAGTTAGTTAAAACAGCATCTTCTCACTGGGCAGGCTGGATGCAGACCTCGCTCAGAGAGTATGAACAACCTGGAACGGCCTCTCACTGAAAGTGAAGAAGAAGAAGGAGCTGCTGTTACCAAGGAGATGACCCGCGTCCGTTCCTACTCCTCACAGCTTATTAGGCCAGGCGAGGTTCTTAGTGCTCCTCCAATCAAAAGCCTCCTTTCTGCTTCTCCTCTAAAATCTTTGGTGGGTGCTGCAGATGGTTACCCCAGCCCTGCTATTAGTTGGTCAGAAGGAAGCATCTCACCCACTAGCACTTCCCTCCAGCACCCTGTCCTGAAGCAGCAGACACCAACCAGAGAAGCAGCATCCAGCCAGAAGCCTGAGGCTGCCACTGCTAGCTCAGCTGTGGCAACCATCAAGAAGTGGAGTGCAGACCTGAGAGAGAGTCCATTTAGCTCCAAACTGAAGAGTGCCCAAGAGAGCACAGTGTCAACTGTAAGCTCAGCTGAAGATCATCCAACAGGCCAGCCTCTGGTGTTCCCACAGGCCGCAGCTGGTGAAGTGGCTCAGAGGCCACCATCACTAAGAAAAAATACATCTCCTTCAGATGACAAGGTTGTGGAAAGGAATCTACAGCAAATCTCTACAACACCACCCCCCGGTCATGATGAGGTCCAACTACGGAAGGAGTCTGCAAATTGGCAAAGGCCCATCTCTGGATCTTTCCATTTTTCTTCAGCCAAAGGTCATGAGAGGCAGAGAACTGGAAGTTTCACTGGAGGGGTGGCTCAATCAGGGGCAAAGAGAGAGCCTGCACCCCCACCTATTTCTTCAATAAACCTCAAAACACAGGATCACATCAGGAGTGTACAAGTAAGGACAGCAGGAAAGGACCCATTTTTTGTCACAGAAGCACAGAGAAATGAAAGAGCTGCCAGCTCTTCAGCAGTACCAACCAAGCTGAGAGATCCAACCGCAACCGTCTCTACTGGCCGAGAACGAGGAGACAGTCGAGCAAGTGAAACACAAGAGACAGGAGTGGAGGCTACAGAGGAAGAGGTTCAGGAGGCAGTCGAGGAGGCAGATGAGGCAGGTGAGGACCTGAAAGGAAATGAAGTTAACGAAGACAGAAAAGAGGAAGAAGAAAGGAATGCATTTGGGGTGAAGCTGCGCACCACATCTCTTTCTCTAAAGTTACGTGCAGACAAGGCCCAATCGGAGTATAGAGTGAAGCAGCACAGTGCTGAAGTCAGCACCCTGAACCCATCTTCGGCCGAAGGCCGAAAAGACAGCAGCATGGGACCTATAACAGGAAACATGGCTGCCACAGTGTCCAAAAAGTCTCCAGTCCATAAGACTGAGGCCCTCATCTCTACCCAGGTCTCCAGCTCTCAACCTCAGAGTGCCAGCAGAGACAAAGAGAAAACTGCTCCCATTAGACTGGATGGTAAGTTTTCTTTTTTTAATCATTTCAAACATAGGTGAAGGTATCAGTGTCCAGCTGAGAGCACAAACTAAAGAGACCACATTATCGAAACAGAGGCATTATCAAAGCTTCTTCTCCGAGATAAAGAGATGTCTTTTCTTAGTTATGTTAGGAAGTAGTCTGTGCAGTATGAGTCAGAGATTTCAAAAAGCCATTGGTCTCGTCAGATCTGTGTCCTTCAGTTCACAAATTAAACTTTGCCCCACTCACTGTTTACAGTCTCACCGTTAGGCCTTACTCAACAAAACAAACAAAATGAAGATAGTGGAGAGTTTACTTCAACCGAACTTTCTGTGCTTCTACTGTGTAATGACAGACACTCTTCCTGCAGTGACATATGTTTTATAAGTCTGTCCTCCTTTCAGCATTGCTCTTAAGATAATCAGGAAGGACAAGGAAGTTATATCACCATTAACCATTAAATCATATGCCCTCAAACTTCATGAAGACTCACTGTTTCCTTAAAAGTAAATGTAGACCCAAGATCATGCTCATAGTTGGTTATTTTAATTACCATTAATATTAGAGATGCACCAATCACAGTTTTTTTTATTGCCAATCATAGTTTCTTTACAGCCAAATTGGTGGATGGCTGATTTTCTTGGACAATTTTTTATTAGCCTTTTTTTAAACCTGAAGCTCACACTGTGGACTAAATGAACGCATACTTTCTATGAGCCAAAGATGCAACATAACATTATTTGCTCTGTAATGGGCCAAACTGGCAATTTAAATTCTTTAACAAAAATTATTTGTCTATTTAAAGAACAAACAAACAAACAATAAATGAATAAATAGAAAGTAAGAGGCATATGGCTGTTTAGCACAAAGAGTCATTCATAATTATGCTATGACATGTATAGGTGTAGCAGCAGCAATCAAATACACACAGTATATGAAATCGTTCTTCAGGTTGATGGAAAATGTGTTGTATATTGTTCTGTATAACACCAAAAAGGTTATTCTATTGTTACAAGCTTGACATCGTAACAGTAGCAGAATCCTGCTTTGATTCTGCGGATTACAGATCAAATGTTTGGAGCCAAACCTTGTAATTCCAATCTTGCATCCCTAATTACTATTTGAATTTTGTAATGGACAGTTTACAGCAAAACATTTATATATTCAATTTCTTGTGCACTAAAGGTATGCCTAACTGCCATTTATTGCAGATTTGGGAACCCCAGCTCAGCCCTCGTCTTCACTTATTAAAGGCACTAAGCTTGTACATTCGCTCCCTAAAGAGAGCACACCAGTTTCCTTGACCCCTAAAGAGAGCACACCAGTGTCCTTGACCACAAAAGAGAGCACACCAGTGTCCTTGACCACAAAAGAGAGCACACTGGTGTCCTTGGCCACTAAAGAGAGCACACCAGTGTCCTTGACCACTAAAGAGAGCACACCAGTGTCCTTGACCACTAAAGAGAGCACACTGGTGTCCTTGACCACTAAAGAGAGCACACCAGTTTTCTTGCCCCCTAAAGAGGTCACACAAATGTGCTCAGTTGGGAACATCCCTATTCCTACAGCTGTAAAACAACCACAGGAGAATTCATCTGAGCTGTCCTGGATGAGCATGGCCCGAGAAAAGACTAGGAGCCTCCAGCAGCTGTTTACAAGCAGACTGCCTGATTTTTCAAGCCTGCAGACAACCACACGATCAACGAACATGGCTGCTACACCACCCCAAACTCAGACGTCAACTTTACAGCCCAGTGCAGGACCTACAAGGCCCATACATCAACTATCAGCTACACAACCCTCTGTAAGACAACAACATACTACTTCTACTCAACCATCAGCCACACAAGCACCTGTAAAGGCAGCATATCCTAATCAGCCCCCAGGCATGCAGTCTTCCTTTAGACCAGCTGAGCCAACCACAGGTCAATCAGGAGTAGTAGATTTCCCCTTAAAGCGAACTCTTTCAACCACCAGTCAAGCACAAACAACACAGCTTAGTGCTAAAACAGGACAACTGCCTGTAGCTAGTTCAGCAACCACTCATTCTGCTACAAAACCAGTGCAGTCAACAGCAACATACACACATACCACCCATTTCAGCACTCACGCAGCCAAACAGCCGTTATCCCAGCCACTAACCCAGACACAATCTCAGGTGACACAACCTACCACACAGTCTAACCTGTGTGCAACTCAACATACTTCCCTTCATCTGTCATCAAGCCCAAAATTTGCACCCCATCAGATGCCTCAAGATTCAGTTTCTCTATTTTCACAGCCCAGGCCTCAAATGGGTGGAGATGTATCCTCCACACCTTTAGGAAAAGCAAATCGAACACTATTGACCCAATGGAAAGGCCCAGTAGAAGGTACAACACAATGGGTAGGAGGCCTGGGGAGCAAAGCTTTACTTACTGAAAGATGGGAGAACCGAACACCTGATGCAAGCCAGGTGAAGCTCTTGGTTTGTTGTCTTTGTTGAATTATAAAGCATACATTGCTGTCATATCAAAAACTTGAAAGATAATTGTTCCAATCTTTTTTTGTTTTTAACACCATTTGAATGTCGGCTTGTTACATGAATTAAAAAATATGGGGTTTTGTTATAACAGCGATGATATGCTACTTGTTCATAGCAGGACCAGCTTTTCCTCATAGTTCATTACCTTTATATCCTTTATGATACATTAATAGGTAGAAGACCAAAAATCTACACCAGAGTCCCGAAACCATCCTCAGTCTCCGACTGCATTTAGAGCCATGTCCAGTCACAGTAAGTTAACAGGTACAGACATAAAGCATATGTTTTTGTTCATGGGAGATGACATAGGCACTTACCTATATGGCATGTATTCTGCATTTGTATATTCACACTTGACTTTACATCTACCTCAGAATCAGCAGCTTCCTCTGGTTCCGTGCGACTGGACAAAGAGGACAAGTGGCAGAAGAAAACAGTGCCATCTTCATCACCACCTTCATCATCATCACCACCTCTCCAGCCCATCAGTGATAGTGGACAACCTTCCTGGATGGAGTTGGCAAAGAGGAAATCTCTGGCATGGAGTGACAAGACTATGGACTGAGACTCATATAGGAGAACATAGTAGATAGTTAAGTTTCAGGAAGTGCTGGGAGGCATTTTGAGTTGGCTAGTAAAAAGAGATGTATGTTTGTGTGGGTGGGCAGGTGGGAGATGGAGGATGAAAGAGTCAGCGCAGGTATAGGTATATATAAAAAGGGCCTTATACCCCCCCCAACCCCTATCCAATGCCCATGCAAACAGCCCTTTCCTTCTATATTATAGGTTATCTTCTCAGGTTTACCACATCACGAAGTTGTTTTATTATAAAAACATTTCTGGCATAATGATTCAGTAGAAACTGAATTCAAACATAAACAGTTTGTATCTATTTATAATTGAGATTTATTTAAGTAATATTGTGGATTACAGAATTATAAGAAGCTATATATATATATATATATATATATATATATATATATATATATATATATATATATATATATATATATATATTTAGCACATTATCAGGAACACCTTCTTGTATGTACACTCATTAAGCATTTTAGCAGCTTCACATAGGAGCATTTTGTAGTTTATGTTTCTAACTTTGTTAGCCCCCTTTCACCCTGTTCTTCAATGGTTAGGACCCCCACAGGACCACCACAGAGCAGGTATTGTTTGGGTGGTAGGTCTTTCTCAGCACTGCAGTGACACTGACGTGGTGGTGCTGTTAGTGTGTGTTACGCTGGTACGAGTGGATCAGAGCAGTGCTGCTGTGCCACAGTGGTCCTGTGGGGTTCCTGACCATTGAAGAACAAAGGGGGCTGACAAACTATGCAGAAAACCGATGGACTACAGCCTATATATATATATATATATATATATATACATACATACATACATACATACATACATACACAGCCAGGTCCATAAATATTTGATCATCAAAAAAGTTACTCTAGCTGTCAGCGCATATCAGAGCTCCAAATGCAGACTTTCAACTTTAATTTGGTGGTATTTACATCCAAATTGGGTGAACAGTGTAGGAATTGGGCAGTTGCTGCTGAACTGTTTCATGGCCACACAGGAACTGAAGAGAGTTGCAGTAAAGGCCTGGCAGACCAGAGACCAGAGAAGCCCAGCATTTGGTGAGATCTATGGGTTCCAGATTTCAGGCAGACATAGACTGCATAGGATTTGCGATCAAATATTAAACATGACAATTTATGTTTGTTAGTTTGTCCGATTAGTTTTAAGACCCTAAATATAGGGAGCTATATATGAAAATTGCTGTTAAATGGTTGTTGAAAATTGTTCCTACACTGTACACTGTACACTATACATGTGATTTGGATGTAAGTACCCTCACATTAAAGCTAAAGGTCTGCACTTATTAATTCATTTAGCCCATATTCATTATTTAATTTAAACTTCAATATGCTGATAAATAATACAATGTCCAATTGTTTATGGACCTGACTCTAAATATATTAGAAGAGGCAAGATGATGATCAGTTGGTCTTTGAATTGTATATTAAATTAAAGGAAATACAAAATAACAAATCAAAGACTTTGTATTACAGCATCTTAAATCTATTGTATAATAAAGTTCACATATCATAAATATGAAAATGAGACTTTATTTTAAACAACTAAATGAGTGTGTGTGTGTGGGTGTGTGTTTGGGATGAATACATGAGCACCTGTTTTAAGTGTGTTTGTGTTCAGGCACTCCACATATTCTAGTGTTGCTGTTCCAAACTTCAACATGTTTTCACAAAGCTGAATAATTGATTATCCTTGTGCCTGTTCATAAAGAGAACACTGCTGCTATTTTTTTTAGAATGGGCTATATAAATAAACAGCTGTCTGTGTAGTATTGCTGGTATCATTTAGTGAAAGCTACAGAAATCTTTTTAGTGTTGTAGACAAGACAATTGCTCCTGCATTGCTGGTAAACAGTGAGGGAGCAACGGAAACAGTCTTGTCCATCCTGTGTTCTGAGATTCTCCAGAGAGGATAACAAAACATTAGTCAGACTCAGAAAGAACAGCATTTTTCACCTGCTTCTTGTGTTTTTTCACACCTAAGGCAGGAGGTAAAACCTCAAAAGCAAAAAGGCATACGGCCCCATCAGTTTAGGACAGCTAAGTGTGGATCTGCTGGTTTGTTGAGAAAACGACATATGTTATTCTGCAAATATAACCATCCTCTGCAGAAATAAAATGTCCAAAATGAATTACTTGTTTAGTATGCGTCACATGTCCTGTGTGCTTTGAAACCTCTGTCTGTGTCCTAGATAATATTCCATCAGTGATGTTCTAGACAACAGCACTGGAGTCCTGTATTTTTATGTCAAGCCGTGGTATACTCTGCAGAATTTCATATTCCCTCTTTAATGTTTTCTAAAGCAGAGGGAAATGTCTGCAGATTTATGCTAAAACTACACACTCAAAAACTAAATAAAGGGTTTTTACAGTAGTACTTCTGCAAGGCTATGAATAGACACTTTTCTTTAAAAAAAATGGAAAAAATGACAGTCCCGGAATCACTCCTTTCGGTTTATATTGGAACACAATATGTTTATGACAACAGTTAATCTGTTTTATAATGCGCTTCACCAGCACTCATTCTTTGGCCTTTTTTTTATTAAAAAAGCAATTTAATATACTGTGTTGCAATTACAATGGACATTAAAGTTTTAAGGTATATCTGCATGTAGAATGCTTACACCAGCATTACAAGACGGACTCCTGATCTCATCACTGATATACAGCACAGGTTTGAGGCTTTCTCTCATTCTGTCTCAGATTAAGATTCATTCCCTCTGAGTGTCACCACTTGTATTCATGTTGTAACACTATATGTATGACTCACTCAGTAGTCTGTGAGTTTCCCTTTTTGAGTGTTCTGTCGTGTCATGAGTGTTTTTCCTGTGAATTGTTCAGTGGGGTTTGGACACAGAAGTTTGCTCTGTGACATTGTTAATACTGCTAAACAAAACTATTTACCTGAATTTAAAAAGGCCCTCTTCACTCTGGAGCACGTCTACTTCGAGCAGAATTAGTATATAATTCCTTCATTAACAATCTTAGCATGATATATTTCATGAAAAAAGTCTGAAATGGCTCCCTAATCCCTATACAGTACACTACATAGGTCATGAAATAATGACTTCAACATCCAAATAGGGCATTAAATGCCCCAGAGATGCATTTGGGATTCAGCTATAGGCTGCATATCTCACTACTGGACACCGAGTGCACTGTTTGATTATAAAAGCCATACTTTTGTGACTGGTCAGTCATTTAATGAGCCAGTCTGCCCTCTAGTGTCCAAACAGATGCAGAATTCCAGCAAAAAAAATAAAATAAAATAATAATAATAATAAAAAATAAAAAATCCCCCAAATCTCCCAGATTATCTTAAATATTAAATTAATTGAATTTTAATATGTAAATTAAATAAAGAGCCACAACACTGCATTATTGTGGGGAGCTTCCCTACAGCATTAATAATTATTAATAATTAATAAGGCGTCAAAGATCTGGCGGAACTTCGATATTAGATTAGAAAACAAAAATGAAAATGTGCAGCACATATCGTAAAATTTAAATTATTTAGATGATACATATGGACATATATGCGTATTTTATCGATAAAAATACAGAGAAGCACAAAAGATACAGGGATAAGAAAGAAATAACGAGAAACAGTTTGACAGTTTCTTGGGGGTAGAGCAGACATTATGCATCAAGTAAAATGTATGTATTACGGACAGGTATTCATAGCCCTTTTGTGGTTACAGTTTTCACTGAATACCGAATTCAACAAGGATCATAAGTAAAGTAATAAAGTAGATGCTGATTCTTGTCTAGACTGCAAACATCAAAGAATCCAGAGAGTACATTTTTAAAAGCAGAGAGAAATCAGCGGGAACGCTGTGATGGAGATGTTTTTGTGATGGTGATGTTTTTGTGATGTTTTGAGTTTGCTGCTCAGCCGCTGTTACGCACGCGCCTGTAGATCGACTGCAGCCAATAGAGAGCGTGGGAGGACGAAGCGGGTGTGTGTGTGTGTGAGTGAAGGTTGTCTGAGAGCTCACCGTTAGTAACTGTGTGCTCTCACTGCCGCCAGTCCGCTGTTTTACAGACTGCCAGAAATGCGGTTTTAACACCGTCAACTGTCGCTGGCATCTCAGTGGAGCAGTGAGTCCGCGTATGTGATTTCTCCTGGACATAACTGTAAGTATTAAAAGTTGATTTTTTTGCTGTAGATGTGGCAATAAGCTAGGCACGCCTGTTGTGTCTGACATATTTTGGGTCTTCCCGACATGCAGGCACGATGCTGAAGTTAGCCACTTATTCACCAGCTTCTCATTTGAATTTTCCGTTCCACCTTAAATGCTGCGGCGTTTACATTCAGAGAGCGACCGCTGCATCATTTAAGATGGAACGGGAAATTCGAATGAGGAGCTGGCTAACTTCAGTCTGATCCGACAGACAGGTACCAGCGGAGTTAGAGAGCCGACTGTCCGTTAAGTCTACAGAGATTCGCTGCATTTGTTTATACATGTTAAAACGTACGGTAGCGCTATTTCTGCATGTTTACTGTGCCTAACTTATGATTAGCTGCAGTGTTCTGTGTGGCTAGCGATAGCTAATCTGGTTCCTGTTCGGCTAGCTGTTTGGTAACCCACTGGTGCTAGTGATGGGAAGCTCCTCAGATGGCTAACTAGCTAGCTTTAGCTAATGTTAACTTCCCTTAGCCAGCTAGCCAGAGACCGACTGCTCACGACTGGTGGCTAAAGCAGGTCTCCTGTTTTCTCTCAGCTTAGAAGGCTTAATCTCCGCTGTTGTTTAATTAAAATCTTTTTTCAAATGCAACTCGCTTGTCCGAGCTGCTTCAGTAATTTTCTTTTTCTTGGTCATTGTTTCTTCCCCACTACAGGAGTTGAAGAGGAACCTGTCGTTTGGACTCTGCAGGTGCCGTTTACTTACAGCTGTGCCACCGTCACTTTTGACTTTATCCTGTCAGGATGAAGGCACGGCTTGGTCGCGATAAACATGTATCTGAAAAGGTAAATCTCCGCTGACTCACTTCGTGACTTTCAAGCACCGGTTTTCAATAAGGAAGGATAAGCAGAGAAGAACCACACGGACCGAAGGAGGGAGTCTTTCCTTCTCCGTGTGAGTTGCCTCTCCTCCGGCGAGAGAAGCCCGTGTGCAGGCGGAGCCACGGCCGAGCAGCAGAGCGCTGAAATGAGATGAGGCTCAGAAATGGAACTCTTGCCACTGCAGTTATTTTCTTCACCTCTTTTCTCAGTCTGTCTTGGTACACGGCCTGGCAGAATGGAAAGGGTAAGTAAACGGCCCCCTGCGCTTAGTGTGCGCTGAAATAAAGTGCATTACATGTCCAAAAGTATCCGGATACACCTTATAATTAGAGATTTCAGATACTTTATGGTGCACCCATTGCTGAGATGGGCTTTCAGTTGCCCACACACAGCTTGAATAATCTCCATAGCAAACCTTTATCAATATAATGGGATGGTCTGGAGCAGCCTAATGACACCATGCCCACTGCCAAGTGTCAGTTATAGATGCCATCAGATCCTCACAGCACTGTTCCAACACAGTGTAGAGGGGGGCTGGTTTAGAATAGAAACGTTGATTTAGAAAGAAGCATTGAATGATCCAGTATCTACAGTCTTTTGGACATGTATGTGTTTTGTCAGTGTTGCCTGACTGCCTTTACATGTTGTGATTATCACAAAGTGATACATTTCACTATAGTTTTTTTCTTCAGGAACTTGTGCAAGTATGGCCATGTTCTGGTCAGTTTATACAGAGAGATGTGCCTTAAGCCCTGTTCAGATGTGATCAGTTTTCCATGGGGAGGTGGGGTACTGTCTGTTTACCACAGGACACCTGTATTGTCTTTGACTGATTTGCCTGGGGTAAGAAATCTCAGTATAAATGACAGAGAAGGGAGTGGCTAATCCTACTCGCTCTCTGCTTATAGATTGGTAAACTTGTTCTTTCACAACGCAGCATTGCCACCAGTTTCACTTCTGTGTTTTCTGGAAACGCCTCATAAGCTTTTGTCTGTGTCTGAAAGAGCAAATAACAGTCTAATAAATGAAAAATACATAGACCTGGACAAGACTTCTGCTAGTGCTTCTGGGAAGCATAAGCGTTCAACTTGGCAAACTACTAGAAAATGAGTAATTGAAATGAGTAACGAATACCTAGTCTTTGTCTTAAAACTAAGTAACAGTGACAGCTTTTCGTGCTGTATGCTGATTGTAGCTTTCGTAAGAGCATACAGTGACTGTATTTTTGTTAGTGTTTCCAGGACTTGACAAAATTGGAAAGACAGATGAGAGCGTGTTTGAGAATTCACTGTCAGATGCTAAAGTGCACTCTGGCTAGAAGCTGGAGAGCCTGGAATGTTTCTTAGCCAACCAAGGCTTTTGTTGGTCATGTTCCATAAGTCCATCTACTGCTGCTTTCCTGTGTACAAGGTGGCTGTATGAATAAAAGTTATATGTAGTTATGTGTATTCCTTTTTAAGGTCTGATTCCAAGGAGTGACCTGTTATCAACACAAGTGTTGCTGAACTTGGCATGGAGCAGTGAGCATAAAACAGTGATTATATTAAGTACATGAAGCAGAGTGGATAAGAGATATCAGTGGACAGGATCATGTTAATTGAGACCCTCTCCATATTTCTGCTGTTCTCTGTTGCTTTTCTAGTGTGCATATAATGTTTGGTAAAGTATCTGAGATTTCGAATATTACAGAATATCAGTAGTGTCTGGCCATAGCTATCACTTTGTATGAATGGATCATTGTCTAGGATGTTTGTCATTTTAATTGTGTGCCCACAGGTTATCATGTGTGATGCTTTTCCCAACTTCTTTCACAAACGTACTGAGATAATGTGCTCGATTATCTAACGTTCAAACCATTCCATTGAGCTGAATTGGCTATTTTTACCAGTTGGAGTTTATAACTTTCAGTTTTACAATTTGTGTAGATCCACTTTTTTAGAATTTAGATGGTGGCCTGTCTTGATGATGATGATGATGATGATGATGATAATAATAATAATAATAATAATAATAATAATAATAATAATAATAAACATTTCTCTGTTTCTGTGAGTTTAAGTGGAAATGTCTCTTTCAAATGGTTGATGTGAGCGAGGAGTCAAATTCGACATGAATGTGTCAGTTGAAATGATTAATTATTGAAGAAGCTATTCATGCTTTCTCATTTAGGGAATTGAAACAATTTGACTCGTAAATCCCAACACAAAGGTTGATCACTCACCCCAGTGCTACCCCATTTTAATGTCGAGAACAGTCATTATGTAGATAAATGGAGCATTCAGACAGCAGTTACAGCAGTGTGTGTTCTTGTAGGCCAGAGTCAGCACTGCTCCACAACAGAGCTTACACTCCACCTGTCTCTCACTCACTATATGAAACACCACTTTCTGCTGTGCACAGACTTGACACATCTCTCGTGCTGCTCTGTGCCGAGCATCTCCATCTCTCTGCTGCAGTAACTGTAAAAATAGGCTCCACCTATCGTTTGATTGTCCCTTCTTTTTTTGCGGGTGGATTTCTCTTGCACTGAATCTCCATCCTGAGGCTGTTTGGAGCACACAATGGGCCAAAAATAGCTGACTGGTGAAAGGCGTCATTATCCTGCACATAGAGAAGATAAGCAGCATGGGAGGGAGGGTGCAGTCTCCTGGTTAATGCCTTTGGAGAAGAAGGAAGAGAGAGGCAGTCTGTAGACCTCAATGTGCTTAACTCTGCATTCTGGGCCGATGTTTTGAGCTGGATTGTGTTGCCCTGTCTAACTGAGCAGGAAAAGAACATGAGAAGCTTATTTTCAGTAAGCCTTAGTGTTGCACCGATACCAATACTGTATCAGTATCTGCGGCGATACTAGCACTTAAAAGCAGTATCGGTATCGGATGATGAGTATACGGATACCTTTTGACTGACACCACAAATCTATTTCTGACGCGTGCAGGTGCGCCAGCAGACAGAACTTAACAACACCTCAGTGGTTTGGGACGACAAGCACCAGTAAAAATGCTCATGGCACAATCTGTAACAGCAGTTTTTGATGTGAAGAACACGATAATGGAGCCACTTAAATGAACGACTGAGCTGTTTCTTTCAGTAATCACTTGTCTGCCACTATGCGGTCACTAACTCTGTAAGTCTGTAAATGTTATTGAGAGTGGAAGGAACCGGTGTACTCTGGGCATAATGATAGCCTTTAGTCTCGATTTAGTCTTTAGCATAGGAGCCCGCTAGCCAGGCCTGTGTGTCAACTAGTCCTGCCTGCGGTGCGCCACTGTCAATAAGCTGTGTGGAGACTCCCGCCCGCTGCTTTAACCAAGCCAGAAAAACACTAAAACTCGCAAATACTGACAACGTGAACAACTGTGATTATTTACTGAACTAACTTTTAAAAATGTAATTGTATAAATGTCAGAACTTATGTGTGTGTTAGGTTAGACAGAGTTAGTATTGGTATCAGCCGATACTAAAGGATCAGGTATTGGTATCGGTGCATCTCTGGTGAGCTTATACAAGGATGTTTCTGTATAGTTCGGTAAAACAAACTGTTCTTAAATGTCTACATTGTGTCTCAAGTGAAAAGTGACATTTAAGGGTGGGTAATGTTATCATTATCGTGATAATTTGCATTACAATGTGCTTTACCTTATATATTATGAGTATCATCAGTATTTATAACACTGAGCATAAAATACTTTATAGAAAGCTTGTCGGCATCAACAGACAGTTTACAGTAACTACATAAATAAGTAATAACAATGAATGAATTGAATGTTAGTCCAGTATTGTCTTATTTTGTAAAATTATCTTTTTTTTCCCTTTTAAAATGTATTTTTGCCTTAAAAAATAGGCCTTTCACGATCATAAAAGTTCAGCTGATGTCCACATATGATGTAAATATATGTCTGAAAAAGCTAATGTCTATGGAAAATCATTTCTGATCATTAATTTTAAATATTTGACAGGCCTACTTTTTCAAAACCTTTCTTGAATATGGTGTCACTGTTTTGCTGATGCATTTTGTCCTTTCTAACATGCACAAACTACATATCATGAATCATTTTTTGTATCATCAAAATGTTTAAGTATTTTGATGGCATATATTTTCCATCCTGCCCACCTATACTGATGTCAATGTTTGAAATTTTCATCTCTTGCTTATTCTCATTGGAAAATTTGAAGTCTCCCCCGCTCACTGAGCTGGTTTTCTCACCTAGGTATTCCATATAATTCTGATGTTGTCAGCTGAGTACGGCTGAGGGAGCGAGGGGAGCAGAGGAGGGAGAACTAGAGGAGTCTGACACAGAAAGATATCAGGGTTATAATGGTTTTGAGTGATTGTTTGCTGTAAGCTCATAGGAAGTAGGGACTTATGCCTGTGGCCTGGGATGCTCAGTAAGTCATGCTCTTGTTAAACATGCACATTCTTTTGGTTTGAGACTGACATTTAATAGCTTAATTTCCTCTCTCCCCCTGCTCTCATTCCACACTAAGAAGAAACTCTCAGTCTCTCTGACAGACACTCATTGAGGTAGCTTACTTGCTGTGGCATTCCCTGCCATTCTGACATTCTTCCTCCATATTAGGCATGAAAACTGGACTGTTGTCGTGGAGTCTGTGTGCTGCTCCAACACTTGACACTTCTCATCTCTTTTGCTTTACTAGCTAGTGGACTAGAACTGCACACTATAGATACATATATCATTATTTTGATTAGCCTACATATATTATAAAACTCTAGCGACCCTTGGTTTGGCATGGTTAAATATTTACCTGCCTTGATTTGACTAAAATTTTGATTTATGGATCCTATGAACAGCTTGAGTCATTAAAACACAGAAACTCTTCAGGAAGGATGTTGTGCAGGATGCTCACAGCATCCAAAAACAAAAATATGTGCACTGGCTTAGGAAGGCATAACAGCAACACAAAAAGTTAGTTTCAAAGTTGGGATGTCTCAGTTTAAATGAGTAATTATAGAAGTTTTTTATGATATTGGTATTGCAAAGGCCAGATTGCAGCAGCAATTCAATGATGCACTGTGCAGCCTTATAGTGTATCAGCCCCCTGCTGTTCATTGTGTTCTTTTTGTGCTAAAACTTGTGTTCCATAGTCATGTTCTGTATCTCATGTTGGATGTTAACCATTCCTGGTTTAGGAAAGCCTAAGCTAATTATGATTTCTAACTGGTTGTTCTGGTTAGGAGTGTGCTAAACATTATCAGTGTAGATTTGAATTGTTAAAGGGATGCTC